AGGGCAGGGCAGGGCAGGGCAAAATACCCATGTAGAATATTCACACGTCAAATAAAACTTTTCTCTTCCTACACAGCGAAGACCTCTTTAGAAAAATGTTCTCTGTGAACTAGACCTGACTTCTGTACATGTAACTTGTTCACAGGATATTTCTTTTGCCATACCAAGAAAATGAGCCATAATAGTATACATACACCTTAAATATATACCAATACACTTCTTAAACCAAACATTTATCAGTAAGAATGCGTTTGCAAAGGCAATTCCATTGTTGAAAAAGGTAAGGGACCTTTCGCAATTCAGTGTCCATTAGATGCGTTAGGAATGCTACCCAAAAATTCACAATAAATGCAGTCACTCACTATACTAGCTGGGAAAGTCTAGGAATTGCAATACCAAAATAGCTCAAGGAAACCAGATTGAGGACAGCCAATATAAAGTATAAACTGATTTACAATGAAGTAAATTAAATAACAACATATGCAGGATGGAGTTCAGTACATACACTTTCTTCCAGGCTATATTAAGAGTGCATTTATAATATCACAGAAGGGCTTTACATGATAAGCTTGATTTTTTCCACTTAACAGAATTAACTTCCCATCCCACTTTGTCCACAAATCCTATCCTAAGCTTCAACTGGTATAGTTTCTTCCTTAGGCATCCTCCACCTCTCTCCCAAGATAACTAAAATGTAATACAGTAAGGACTATTTCAGAAAAGACTCCTTAACTTTGACAATTTAAACAAGACATACTTAAAAATACTATTTTACATGCTAACCATCACCACTGCAAATAATTGAACTCACCTTGCTTTTAATCATGATCTTTACTTCACCAGATTCTACAATGAAAAAACTCTCTGCCTTATCACCCTGTGAAAACAAGATTACAGATTTCTTTGCATTTTCTGAAGCTATGATTCAATCGAGGTAATATAGTTTCTGAAATTGATACTACAAAAAGCATGCCACAGCACAGAGAAAAGAATCTATGCTACCTAAATCCAAGATGTGAAAATATAAATGAAAATTGTGGCAATATTGGAATATTTCAATGGGGAAAGGAGATCCTAATACAAAGGTCACTGCTGCTTCAGAAAATATTAAAGATATACTTTCCAAATATTGTTTGAGCAATCCTTTTGCATTTGAAAAGCATTTCCTGTATTTTGTATTCTAGAATCCAAAAGTACAGAATATAAATTAGCAATCTGCACAAGGTTACAAAATGTAAATCAACACTTAAGGCAATATTTTTTAAACTTTACAAAACATATGAATACTGTTCATTGTAATCCATTTTTTAAAATTCTACTCTAGCTCTGTATATGACTGAATTCCTATCTCCCAAATCCAACATATTTACTAAAGTGAGAGAACTGTACTTACATACCTGAGCAATGATGCGTTCTCCATCTTGATATGCCTTTTCTCCTATTACATCAACAATTTTCATTCGCTCTGATGGCTGCAACAGAGAAAGAAAATTAATTTGATATGGAAGATACACACAGGAAGGTACGCACAGATTCTGACACCAAAACAAGCAGAATCAGTGTAGAATGCCTGTGCTACACA